TCAGTATTAACCCAACACTTTCAATATAATTTCCTACAAATGTCAACACAAGCGTCCCCCTATCTCGACACGTGACATTTTTTTTCCTTTGTGCTCAACATAGTTTGCCGCCCCCTTTGAAGTATGCCGGCTAGCCTAACCATCCTTCTTCTATTAACCGTGATCTCACAAAGCATGAAAGAGATTTGGAGTTTCAGGCACGGAATAGAAGGCGTGAAAGACAAAAACAAAACCAGCTTGGTAGTACCTTGCCAACTGGTACTCCCAGAAGTTCTGCCAGTGGTGAACATCAAGTTTGACAATTGCCGCATCACAACCTCAAATTGTTATATACAAATGCTGGGTCATTGTTTAATAAGATGAATGAATTGAAATGCTTGGCGTTTGATAGAGATTTGGATTTTATTTGTATAACTGAATCACATTTTTCTGGGGATTATACTGATGCTGAATTAGATATTCCTAATTATAATATTTACAGGAATGACTTGAATCCAAGTGGAGGTACTTGCATCTATGTTCACGTAAGGCACACTGTTCAAGTTCTAGTGAATAAATCTATTCGTGATTTTAGGAGTATAACAGTATTCTTGGATACTGGAAAATTGCACTTAGTGTGTTTGTATCGCTCACCATCTTCAACTGTTGAACAGGATGTACTTGTGAGAAATGAATTGGCTAAGTTACCTTCTACTAATACTGATCGAATTATACTTTTGGGTGATTTTAACCTCCCTGATGTTTGTTGGGTAACTGGCAGTGTTAAAGGCCCTGATAATACAACTGATAGGAAACTCATTAACCAGCAGGAGTATTTAGATTGTATTGTTGCTAATGGATTTTCGTGGCATATTACAAATGAAATCACTCGTAGGAGGTTTGTTTGTGGGGAGTTGCAGGAGTCTACTTTAGATCAAATATTAACATCAGATCCTGATATTATAGATGACATTATTTTTGGTCCTCCTCTTGGACGTAGTGATCACTTGACATTGGAGATTCGCCTTAAGCTATATGATGACGCCAGTTACTTGACCTCTGTAAAGTATAATTGGTCGAAATGTGATATTGCTAAAGTTGTATATTTGGGTCAACAGACGGACTGGTTCTACTCGGGTGTATTTGATAATTCTGTAGATACACAAAGTCAGGAATTATTGAATAAGATCTTGAATATTGTTGATAACTCTGTGCCACTATTAAGCTAAAAACTACGAAGGAAGGAATTCCAATTAAGAAAGCGCCATGGGAATGCTCTAGACTTCAGCATTCTAGGAAAGCAAAGGATAAAGCTTGGCACTGTTTTGATACGTGCCCCACACATTACAATCTTATGTCTGCTATTGAGGCTCAAGATCAATATAAGACTATAGAACGGGAAAATAAGGAAAGTTATGAGATAAAATTGGCTAAAGGAATAAGGTACAATTCTAAGCAGTTCTATGCATACTTACGAGTAAGAAAAAGTCCAGTCCCACTGTATCTAAGTTGAAAAAGCCTAATGGAGAATTTACAACTAGTGTAAAGGAGTCTGCTGATTTGCTTGTCAAATCTTTTGCAACTGTTTTTACAAACGAGACTTCACTCACTCGCGATTGTAACATGGATATTATCGCTGTTAAACAAATTGATCCACTAATAATTAGTGACTATGATGTGAAAAATGAGCTGCTGGCTCTAGATGTCTCAAAGTGTGCTGGGCCAGATGGAGTTCATCCAAAAATTGTTAGAATTTTAGCGGGAAATGATAATTTTGTGAGTGCCGTAACAGCTTTATATAGATCTATTTCAGACGTCAGACAATTCCCAGAAACTTGGAAGAGAGCAATTATAATTGCATTACATAAAATGGGGGCATTTAGTGATGCTGGAAATTATTGACCAATTTCTCTAACTTGCATCTTATGTAAAGTGTATGAAAAGCTTTTGTTTAAACATCTGTACAGTCATGTTAAGGGATTTATTAGTCGGAATCAGCATGGGTTTATGGAAGGGAAGTATGATCTTATATATTTGGATTTTCAAAAAGCTTTTGATAAGGTTGCACACGAAAGATTGTTGTTAAAGTTAGAAAGTTACGGAATTACTGGGCAGGTTCATGACATTATAAGGAACTTCCTGACAGGTAGATCAATGGCAGTACGTGTGGGAGATCATATTTCATCATGGGAGCCTGTTACTTCTGGAGTCCCCCAAGGGTCTGTTTTGGGACCCTTGTTATTTATATTATTTATTAATGACATGCCACAAGTTACTAAATTTAATACTGTGCTTTTCGCTGATGATTCCAAAGTTATTGGTAATGCATATTATCCGGAAGATATTCAAACAGACATTGATTGTCTCAGTAGGTGGTCAGAAATATGGCAGATGAAATTTAATGTGGAAAAGTGTGGTGTACTTCACATCGGAGAGAGCAATCCGCAACATGGCTATACATTGGATGGTATTCAACTAAAAAGTGTACAGAAAGAAAAGGATTTGGGGGTAACCTGGTCTGTTGGGAAGTCCTTATTTGATGATCATATTCGAGAAGGAATCGGAAAGGCCAAGAGGAGATTGCCCGGTTAATAAGAAATGTTGTATCTCGTAAACATGAAATGTTGGTTCCTCTTTACAAGGCCTTTGTGAGGCCCCATCTGGAGTATTGTGTGCAAGTTTGGTCCCCGGTAGCAAAGCATGGTAATTGGGGTATAATTATGGCATTTGAAAAATGTCAAAGGGATTTTACTAGAATAATTCATGGTATGAGTTTTCTCAGCTATAGTGAGAGACTTCAAAAGCTGGGACTGACAACACTTCTCGAACGTAGAATGCGGGGTGATCTTATTGAAGAATACAAGATTATTAACGGACATGTTAACTATGGCCATCGAATGTTTAACCATAATTTGCATTATAGTACTCGTAATTTATGCAATGTATCATCCTGTAGGACCAGATTTGCGTTAGATTGTTTTAGCGTAAGAGTAATTAAGTATTGGAACAATTTACCAAACTCTGTTAAGTATGCACCTAGTGTAAACGCCTTTAAGGCAGGACTTGATGATCTAAAAAGTTATAACCCGGATTCTCGTCACGGATATTGGTATTTATCGCAAGAAATCTTTAACAGAATTCCGGATAAGAATGACCATGTTACTTATCTTAAATTGCATCCAGAGGTTGCTATGCGAAGACATATTTCTTGTTTCTAATTTTTAATAATTGTAATATATATTACTGTAAGATTTATATTTCTGTAATTTTCTTAGATGCACGAGTTGCCCAGAGAGGCATAATTAAATCTTATCTTATCTTATCTTTCAAACTTTGTCATAATGACGTCATTTTGAAATACTTGGAATCTTTGAATCTTTCTTTGATCGTGTCAAATTGACAAATTCATCATGGAGGAGGAATTGAAAGCCGTGAAAAATTCGCTTACTCGTGCGGCTGACACTCTAGAACGAATCGAAAGTTCTCGTTCTGGCCCAGGTATGTCAAACTTCTTTGATGAATAGATGAATATGGTTTGATTATAAATACGAAGATTAATAATTTAATTGTGCCTTTATATTGTTTGGCGGTTTTGCTGGCACATGGCGTGATGGCAGCAAATTGTTGTTTATATTGGTGTTGTCTAAATTCGTTCAATCGTTCATTCATTTCTGCCAGCCAGCATTACAGCACATTACAGCAATAAGTAAACAAAACAAGTCACTCATATTGAACAATATTTTATTTTATTTTATTGTTGTGCATATTAAATTATTTAAATTATGTTGATTTTGCTGTGTTGGTTTAATGTACTCAGGTGAATAAGATGCTTGTGATGTTACTCTGAGTGTATATCCACACCGGGCAGGCTTGGCAAATATGCCTGGCTACGGTGGGAATCGAACCCACGACCTTTGGAATACTAGCCCACTGCTCTGCCAACTGAGCTACGCTGTCAAGTCGGTACGAGTACGTGATATTACCAATTACACCAACACAGCAAAAGCATGATTATTAGATTACATTGATATCGAAGGAACTAGACTCAGTTCCAAAATATCACGTACTCGTACCGACCTGACCGCGTAGCTCAGTTGGCAGAGCAGTGGGCTAGTATTCCAAAGGTCTTGGGTTCGATTCCCACCGTGGCCAGGTATATTTGTCAAGCCTGCCCGGTGTGGATATACACTCAGAGTAACATCGCAAGCTTCTTATTCACCTGCGTACATTAGACCAACACGGCAAAATCAACATAATTTAAATAATTCAATATGCACAACAATAAAATAAAATATTGTTCAATATGAGTGACTTGTTTTGTTTACTTATTGCTGTAATGTGCTGTAATGCTGGCTGGCAGAAATGAATGAACGATTGAACGAATTTAGACAACACCAATATAAACAACAATTTGCTGCCATCACGCCATGTGCCAGCAAAACCGCCAAACAATATAAAGGCACAATTAAATTATTAATCTTCGTATTTATAATCAAACCATATTCATCTACAAAATGATGACATTAATGTTGACACCATTCAAAGAAGTTTGACATACCTGGGCCAGAACGAGAACTTTCGACTCGTTCTAGAGTGTCAGCCACACGAGTAAGCGAATTTTTCACGGCTTTCAATTCCTCTTCCATGATGAATTTGTCAATTTGACATTCCAAGTATTTCAAAATGACGTCATTATGACAAAGTTTGTATGACGTAATTTTGGCGGCTTTTGTATAAGCGGCGGCAAATCGCAATTTTCAACTTGACAAATCGCAATTTTCAACTTGACAAATCGCAATTTTCAACTTGACAAATCGCAATTTTCAACTTGACAAATTGCAACTTCGAATTTGACAGATCGAAACTTTCAACTGTGCAAATCGCAACTCTCAGTATAGCAAATCGCAACTTTTCATATTTAGATTTTCCACCAAGTTCATTGTTGCGTGCAGGAAAGTCGTTAAATGTTTGTGTGGTAAACATTGTCAAAAGCCGTATGAAAAATTATGGGCAAAATTAAATGTTGATTCCCCATATTAAAAGTCGAATTGCAATATTGATTTTTGGCGGTGATGGAACGCCATAATTCATCACCTAATGGAAAGCGTAATTTAGAAATGAAAATTAAAGCTCAGAAAATAACTTTAAGACAATGTACAATGATATATAAAATATAATAATATATTCAAAATAGTATTTAATATATTATAAAACATATAATATACTATATAATATATTTATCATTTATAGACCCTGCGCTCGGGGGATTCGTCGAAACATTACCCTCAGTGATGATATTTCCCGAGGGGTTTTATACCGAAAGTTAAAGAACCCACTAACTCACTAAGTTCAGAATAAACTTTAAAACTTGCTGAATATTAACTAGCTAAGAGAATACAATTTTTAATTTTTTTATTACGCATACCTGGATAAATCCTATGGATCATTGGACTGTACGAAATTAGGGGCGGACCATTAGAAAAGTAATGGCGGAGGGGGGAGAGCAAAAATAAAAATCGAGCAGGGGAAACAGAAAAAAAAATTCGTGCACCAGAAAAGTTTGAAAAAAAAATTCGTGCAGAGACTTCTCAATAGGGAAAACTATAAGTTGACAGGGCCTATCAGAAGTACAGTGTAAGGATGGCCCCCAAATTTAAAAAATAAATAAAAAAAAATATGGAACGTTTTTTAAAAGTAATGGTGTGATAAAAAATTTTCTAAACCTAAATGTAGCCGATATTGGTGCAAAAAAGCGTTTTTAATTATGTTTTAGAAGAATTTGTGTGGGAAAATGTGTTTTAAACGACTTAACTAAACTGATGTTAGTCCGGACAAATTTTTCCCCCCTTTTCTTTTAATGTCCTGAAAAAACTTTTACGTCCTGAAAAATTTTTTCACCTCTCACCCCCATATTGTTTCAGAGCGTGGTCTCCACGCGTCACGGTGTCCACGCGATATTATAGTATGTCACGCTGCATTGCGAAATCAGGAATTTGAATGAAATACCGTAAAAATCACATTGTCACGTGGTACAAATGACGTTTTTTCATTGGACAATATTTATTTGAGTTGTAATATTATATAATATATAATAAATTATAAGCGTATTATATATTATAAATATATTATATCTTATATAGTAGATATTTCATATGAAATAAATTATATTTAATATAATACATTATATTATATTTTAGTATATTAATATAATTTCTAATATAGCATTTGTTAATTCTGCACGCTGATTGGCTAAGAGCCGTGTTGATATAACTCAATGTCAACAGGGAAAATTTCTTTCTTTAAATTACTTTGTGCCATATGTGGAAAAATCGAAATTGTGTGAAAACACTCCACCCTTCGGGGGTCGTGTTTCCACACAATTTCTTGTCTCGGAAAATTTCTTTCTTTATATTTCTTTGTGCTATATTATAAAACAAATATAAAACATTCTTTCCGTATTGATATACAGTTTATAATATAGCATTTGTAATTTCTGAACCCTGACTGGCCAAGCTAGAGCCGTGTTGATATAACTCAATGTCAGCACGGAAACGTTGGAAAATTTCTTTCTTTATATTTCTTTGTGCCATATGTGGAAAACTCGAAATTGTGTGAAAACACTCCGCATTTCGGGCGTCGTCTTTCCACACAATTAGGTATAGAGCAGGCGCGGATCCAGACTGATGCAACTGATGCGAATGCATCAGTCAAAATTTTCACACGAATGAGAATTGTCAACATTTTATTAAAATATATTTAAATATTGGTTGTCTTTGATCCAAAGTCCTTTAAAACAATATATTTTCACAGGAATGAATGTAAACAAAGCTATATTTCGCAAAATATTATGAAAAACGTAAACGCATATCAAATTTCGCACTTATCAAGTTGTACGATTTTGT